GGTCCTGCCAGTGGTCCTCACGAGGCCGATCGCGCCACTACTGGCGCGGGCCACGGTCGTCCCAGCGTCCGCCTCCGCATCCTCCTCCGCGGCCATAGCCCCGGTCGTTCCGCTCGGGGCATCGACCGAAGCGTCCTTCCCGAATGGCTCTGAGCTCTTGACAGTCGCTGGTGTTGTGGGTGTTCAAGTTGTGGAAGGCGCGGAATGGACGGCCGTTCTTGGACGACTCGCGCTGATCTCTGCCTCGCTTGGTGTCGGGCTCCGCTACGAGCACCACTGCCTCTTTGTGTTTCACGTCCTTGGCCTTGGCCTTCTTCTCCTCCACTCCTGCAGCTGGCAGCTCAAGGAGAGAGAGGCGCCCCTCCTCAGCTCTTGCGCACTTGGTCGCCAAGTTGAACAGCTCCTGAGATGTGCAAAGCTCCTCATGGATAGCCAGCTCTTCCTTCATCTTGATGTCGCGGACGCCGTCGAAAAACGCGGAGATGATGGCCTCGTCCATGACCTTGGGGATCTTGAGGCGGGTGTTGTTGAAGCGCTGGATGTACTTCTAGAGGGTCTCTCCTGGTTGTTGCTTGATGCGGCATAGATCGCCCGTGGCCGGTGGGCGGTCACGAGTGCCCTGGAAGTTGACGACGAAGCGGTCGTGCATCTCGTCCCAGGAGGAGATCGAGCCGTGCTGCAGGTTCAGGAGCCAGGAGCGGGCCCCATCCTTGAGAGCCATGGGAAACTAGTTCGCCATGACTTTTTCGTCGCTGTTGGCCGCTTCGATGCTCAAATCATAGAGCTGCAGGAACTCCGCGGGGTCGGCGGTGCCATCGTATCGAGGAGGCAGATCTGGCTTGAACTTGCCTGGCCAGGCAACACTACGCAGCTCAGGGGTGAAGGCACGGTAGCCCGCCGTGGTCGCCGGGGCCCGCTTCGGAGGCGGAGCTTGGTCTTGGTGAGGTCCGCATTGCGCCACTGCAGGCGGCGCGCAGTCTTGACGAGGTGGCGCGGGGAGCGTCGGTGCAGCTTCTCGCGGCCGCGGGATTTCTTGGCAGCTTCTTTCTTCACGTGCGGGCGTCGGGCGCGGTGGATCACGCCGCGGAGGCGCGCGCCTTGGCGCCAAGGCACCGTCTTGGGGTCGAGGCGGTAGAGGCACGCCATGAGCCCCGTCGCCCGTGGCTGGCTGAGGGGGAGGCAGAGAGTGGGACAGCGCGGAGAGCCCCCTGCGGCACGGACAAGCTCAGCGACGCGGTCGAGTTACTCCTCATAGAGGTCGTCGATGGGGCGGTAACGCAGGAGCTCGTTCTCCGCGATGAGCGCGGCCCGTGCCTCCATGGGAGCGCGGTGTGCGTGAGACGAAGAACCGGCAGGGACGAGTAATGGGGTAGCGGTGCGGCCGTCCTGCCGCACCGAAGGATGCTGCAAGGACGCCTGCTGCTCGTTCCCCACCGGGCCGGTGGCAGCATTGGCAGCGGGGGACGGAGAACGACGAGGTGGCCCGCCGACGGGAGCCGTCTGAGCGATGCGGGCGGCAAGGGCAGCCCGACGCTCAGCTCGAGCACGGCGAGCGTCCGCCATGGAGACGACGGAGCGACGGAAAGGAAGATACGGCACACCCCTACCTGGCGCGCCAAATGTCAGATGTGGGGCTCCGGCTAACCCTTAAGGTTCGAACACTGGGGTGCGCACGAAGTCTTTCCCTCCTACCGATCTATGCTCTAGCTCGCTAAGATCTTGCGGACGAACTCGACGAACTCATAACACAGAAAGACATGGGGTTTATACTGGTTCGGGCCACCATTATGGTGTAATACCCTACTCCGGTGTGGTGGTGGTGGATTGCCTCTTGGGCTGATGATGAACAATACAAGGGGAGAACAGCCTCCTGAGGTTGAGGTGTTCTTGTGTGAACTTGTGGTGTGTCTCTTGGTCTCGTTCTGATGCGAACTCTCTCTCTTCCTATGGTTCGCCCTCTACTATGGTGGTGGCTAGTCCTATTTATAGAGGCCCTGGTCCTCTTCCCAAATATCGATCGGGAAAGGAGCCAACAATGGTGGGCTAATTTGAAGGGGGACAGCTAGTACAAGCTATCCTGACAAAAGTAGTCTTCGCCTGCACAAAGCTCTGGTGATGATGCTGTTTTGGGCTCCACGATGACCTCCGTCTTGCAGTCCATGGTCTTGGTCTTGTTGCACCGAAATGGCAACCTTTGCCTAATGCCTCGGTACTCCGCAGCTGCGCCTACCTCCTTTGCACCAAAGGGGAAACAAGGACGATGTGCGCGTTGATGCATGTCTGGCGCCCGCCTGGTGCCGATCGTCATGGCTCACGTCACGAGGGCCTCGTGAGGTTCGCCTCGCCTTGATATCTCTGCTCCTCGTGAGCCTGCCTAGCTAGGCCACTCTAGAGGAGGTCTTGCATCGTCCGCCTCGCGAGGCTTGGCCCCTCGCGAGGGTCTTGGATGCTTTGTTGGTGAAGATGGGTCATACGGCCTGCTGGCTCAGCCACGCCGCGGGCCGCAGGCAGGCTAGTCTGGGGACCCCCGTTCCCAGAACGCCGACAAAAAGCATGATGCAAAATAGACGTATCAACTCCCCCAAGCTTAGACCTCACTTGTCCTCAAGCGAAAACCGATATCGAAAAATATGTCCACATTTTAGAGATAGAGGTGTCAATAAAATAAAATACAGACATAAGGGCATCATGCTCATTCTTAGAACAGCAATATATATATATATATATATATATATATATATATATATATATATATATATATATATATATATACATCCGAGCTATTCTGCAACCCATTCCTGAATAAGCTATTCGGGAACCGTTCTAACTGCACGAGAACAGACAGCTAACTATGCGAACTATACTAGTTAACTGTCGAGCGGACTTTTTCTAGCATCGTTTTTTCGCACCGTTTTTTGGGTCGTAATTATTTAACCGCTAATCGGATTGATGCAACTGATATACCTTTGGATAGCTATTTAGAAGGAGCAAAAAACTCATTTTGGTCGTTTTCCCAAAATCGATCCGATTTTTAAACAAAATTCCAAAAACTGAAAATCCATCAAACAAGATTTCAATGTTTTTGTGAAAGGAACTTTCAAAGCTTTTGTCGGAATGATGCATATGATATACCGTTAGAAAGGTACTGATTAACCCGAACTTTGGCATATATAACATGATTTCGGATTTGCTACGGTTTAAGAGTAGTTTTCAAAAAACAAACATCATTTTCGACATTTTTTGCCCGAAATGCTACAGAACACGCTAACTGCTCGCGCGGAATAGCTAAATGACATATGCTGACAAGCTAACTGTTGAGACTGAAGAAAATTGTTTTTTTCTTCTATACTTTTATCGTCAGGTCAAGTTAACTTCCGAGAGTGAAATAGCTAACTGCCAGGAATCGCAACAGTTAGCACCAAGTTAACTGCGGGACTAAAAATGTTTTTTTCTTTTTTAATTGGGTCACACTAACTGCGGGTATGAAATACCTAAATGCGCGCGATGAGCAAGCTAACTGCAATTGCTGACAATACTTTTTTGCTTCTTTTGTTTTCTATTCTTTTTTCTATTTTTTCTTGTTCAAGTTAACCGCCGGGACTGGAATAGCTAACTGTCAAGACTGCAATAGTTAACTGTCAGAATTGATTTTTTTTTTGTTTTTTGCCCGGTTCAAGCTAACGGACGGGAGTAAAATAGCTAACTGCCAGGGATTGCGGCAGTTAACACCGAGTTAACTGCCGGGATTAAAAATATTTTTTTGTACCTCACGCAAGCAGGGGCTTGGAAAACAAACCGAATCCTCTCATTAGATTGCTATTTTTGTACCCGAGCTAACTGTCGTGACTTAAGACACTTTTTTCCTGGTTTTTCCCGTACCATTTTTTCCTGGTTTTTCCCGGACCAAGCTAACTGCCGGTATTAAAATAGCAAACCATCGGGGATTGCGGAGTTAACTGCAGGACTGAAGGTACTAATTTTTTTTTTTTATTATTATTATCCCTGGGTCATTCCAACTGCGGGGCCTAAAATACCTAACTGTCGGAACTGCGGCTGTTAAGAACTAGTGAACTGCTTGACTGAAGATATCAACTTTTTTTCTTTCGTTCTTTTTTTGCCAAGGTCACGCTAACTACTCGAGTGCGCATGGCAGTTAAGTGTTCAAGTTAAGTTTCATAACTTGCCCACTTAACTGCCATATGCAATAAAAATTGGACTAACAATATATAAAAAACTTTGTTATACTGTCATAGTTTTGAAACGGTTAACTGTTGCACTTCATGCACTTAACTGACACGTCACAAAAAACTAACTTCCGTGTTTACTTAAGTAAAAGCTTTTTCACCTTTTTAGTAGTTAACTGCTATAGTATCTTGGATTAACTGCTCCACCTAAAAATGATAGTAACTTCTAAAGAAACTAACGGCTATAGTATCATAAGTCAATCGCTAATCTAAGCACAAGTCAACTGCTACAATTTTAGTTCACTAATTGCGTTGGAGGAGAGCACTGGTGGATAGCTGCGTTGGAGTAGATATGGTCGTGCTTGCCATGAATCAGGTCACCCCGGCCGGCAATGGCTAGGAGTCTGACTGTCTTAGAGCAGCATGTCTTCCTGGTTGGGCTTTGGCGAGGTGAGCAGCGTAGTGTAGAGCCACAACTTCTCCCCGAGCGAGGAGCACCTGGACGCGGCCGGCGGGGGCGGATGAAGGAGAGCGAGGCGAGCGTCTGGCGGTGCCTGTAGCGGCGCCAGGCGAGCTGCACGGCCACGGCGGCCTAGGTGCGCCACCCGTGTGAGTAGTAGAGCGCGCTCCGCCGCACCTTCACAACTGGAAGTATTTCATCAAGCTAAGAACCAAGTACGATGTAAATAAAATGTATGGAGATATCAATTCCTCTTGAGGCAGAAGATGGGTGTCCCAGATAAATGGAAAATCGTTAGTTGAGCGCATTTAGTCACGCACCAGTATGGGATATCTTTCTTCCATCAGCCTCACAGGTCATGGAATTGCTGTGAACCCACCATCGAACACAAAGCTGCGGTATACACCATCACCATATCCAGGAACACCATCCACCCAGTCCCAATTGCCGCCGCTGCTCCCTATGTCATCCTCCTCCCACATTGCGAGCTTCCCGCGGGCGCGCTTTCCACCAAACCACACCTTGCCATCACCCCCAAACACCTTTACCTTGTTGTTGCCGTTGGCAACAGGGGCGGGCATGGCGCTTGCCTGCGCAGTAGCCTCGCACAGGCCAGTGAAGCAGCAGTACATATTGGGCGGCATGCGGCCAGCCTCGCCCCACTCCATGGTGGCCAGATTCAGCCGGAGGAGGAGCACCGTGGAGCAGGGCGCGTCCAAGGCAAAGGACGACCTGAGACCAGCGATCATGAGGACGTGGCGGCCGCCCGCGCCGGCCAGCAGGCGGGGGCGCTTGAGGATCTCGAAGACGTCTCCCCAGGAGGCGCGCTCGACGGGCGCCCAGCCGCCGGTGAGCCTGGCGAGCGGGTAGGAGAAGAGCTTCCACTGGCTGCGCAAGGGGGTGCAACTGCCGACGTCGCAGACCGCGAAGACGCGCTGGCGCCGACGGCCAGGATGGGGCTCCGCGGCTTGGAAGGGAGCGAGAGGGGGTGCTTCATCCACTTGCCAGATCCCTCGGACAGGGAGTAGGAGAGCGCGGCGAGCTCGTGAGGACGAGCACGACGCCGGCGGGGCCCGCGAGGAGAGGGAAGGCACGGGGCGCCCAGCGAGGCCTGTTGCCGGAATCCATGGCGGCCACCTCCTGGGCCATGGCCTGCAGACCCGAGCTCACTCGCTCCCTTCGGGAAAAGAAACAGGTTAGGAGGTGGTGGTTCCTAAATAAGCTTATTCAGGAACTTTAGAGGGGGTTTCTAAATAGTCCCACCATATATATATATATATATATATATATATATATATATATATATATATATATATATATATATATATTCATATGATCTCTTATGCTAAAGTAACAATTCATTCACAGTTTCAAGTATGAATCATAAACTTCATTGAATCATTAAAGCAATTGCAATTTATCATAACATCGGAAAGAGTCAACATAAGAGCTTTTCAGCTAGTCCACATACTCAACCATCATTTAGTCTTTCACAATTGCTAACACTCACGCAATATTTATGGGTATGAAGTTTTAATCGGACACACAGAAAGATAGGGGCTTATAGTTTTGCCTCCCAACTTTTTACCTCAAGGGTAATGTCAACAGTAATAGTTCATGAAAACACACATCCAATTAGCTATATATATCAGGATCTTTCCAACACATTGTGATTTTCAAAGGATAAAATGTAAAAAGGAAAGGTGAAAATCGCCGTGACTCTTTGCATGAAGTATAAGAAAAGAATAAAAGATAGGCTCTTCGCAGAGGGAAGCAGAGGTTGTCATGTGCTTTTATGTTCGGATGCACGAAGTCTTAATGCAAAAGAACGTCACTTTATATTGCCACTTGTGATATGGACCTTAATTATGCAGTCCGTCGCTTTTATTTCTTCCACATCACAAGATCGTATAAAACTTATTTTCTCTGCACTGATAAATCATACATATTTAGAGAGCAATTTTTATTGCTTGCAACAATGACAACTTACTTGAAGGATCTTACTCAATCTCTAGGTAGATATGGTGGACTCTCATGGCAAAACTGGGTTTAATGATATTTGGAAGCACAAGTAGTATTTCTACTTGGTGCAAAGAATTTGGCTAGCATGAGAGGGAAAGGCAAGATCAACATGTTGGATGATCCATGACAATATAATTTATTTCAGATGTAAGAAAACATAACTCATTACGTTGTCTTCCTTGTCCAACATAAACTCTTTAGCATGTCATATTTTAATGAGTGTTGACAATCATAAAAGATGTCCAAGATAGTGTATTTATATGTGAAAACCTCTCTTTCTTTATTACTTCCTATTAATTGCAACGATGACTAAAACTATGTTTATCAACTCTCAACAACTTTTATTCATCATACTCTTTATATGTGAAGTCATTACTCTCCATAAGATCTATATGATCTCTTTATTTCTTTTTATCTTTTCTTTTATTCCCTCAAGATCATAGCAAGATAACCAAGCCCTTGACTCAACACTAATCTTTATTATATATAGCTCACAGACTTGATTACATAGAAGGATCATAAGGCAAAACTCAAAACTAGATCATACTAAAACTTTATTCTACTAGATTAAGATATTACCAAAATGATCGAACTAAGAAAAACGGTAAAGATAAAAGTGATGGTGATACGATATCGGGGCACTCCCCCAAGCTTGGCAATTGCAAAGGGGAGTGCCCATCCCGATACTCGGTTCTTCTTTGCTGGTGAAGAAGGTGTTGGTGATGATGGATAGTCGCACATTGAGCATAGCATATCCTCCAATTTGCGGATAATGCCCTTGAGTGCGATGATATGCTCCTTCAACAAAATATTTTCACTTGTGAGATACTTGTTTTGAATGCGAGCTAACTCAATCATCTTGAAAGCTTCAATCTCCATTGGGGTAAAGAGATTGTGATGGGGTTGAAGGATGTCTTCTTCTACTACTGCTGGAACTTGATCCCCCATGGCCTTCTTGATCCCATCATCCTTATTGATCTCTCCGGGCTCTTCCCTCTTCAGCTCTATCTTCATTAGCCAAGCATCGTTGCCCTCATTGTTGGAGGAGGAGGGAGACGACATGATGCCTAGCCTTGACAACCCCGGCAGAAAACAGCCCGAAACAAATATAGGAGATTTTTGCGTGATACGGTGGTCAAAACCTTCGGGAGATTATATAATGAATTTTTACTGACCAAAAGAAGTATCGTGCAAGAAAACGGAGTTTAGAGAGCACATGAGGTGCCCACGAGGCAGGGGGCGCGCCCAGGGGGTAGGGCGCGCCCTCCACCCTCGTGGAAGCCTCGTGTCCTTTTCGGACTACTTCTTATTTTCCTATTTTCCTAAATATTCCAAAACGAAGAAAAATTGCCATTAGCACTATTTTGGAGTCGGTTTACTTACCGTACCACGTACCTATTCCTTTTCAGAGTCTGGAACGTTCTGGAAAGTGTCCCTTATGTATTCCTCCGGGGTTATGATTTCAATAACATTAGTTTCAACATTTATGGGATTAGCTGAGATATAATGTTTGATTCTTTGACCGTTCACCACCCTCAGATTTGTGCCTTCGAAGTTGTTGATATTTATGGCACCGGAACGATAGACCTCCTCGATGACGTAAGGACCTTCCCATTTAGAGAGAAGTTTGCCTGCAAAAAATCTTAAACGTGAGTTGTATAATAATACATAATCACCTACATTAAACTCACGTTTTTGTATCCTTTTATCATGCCATCTTTTAACTTTTTCTTTAAACAGTTTGGTAGTCTCATAGGCCTGGGTTCTCCATTCATCAAGTGAGCTAATGTCAAAAAGCCTCTTCTCACCGGCAAGTTTGAAATCATAATTGAGCTCTTTAATGGCCCAATATGCCTTATGTTCTAATTCGAGAGGTAAGTGACAAGCTTTACCATAAACCATTATATATGGAGACATACACATAGGATTTTTATATGCAGTTCTATAAGCCCATAATGCATCATCAAGTTTCTTGGACCAATTCTTTCTAGATCTATTAATAGTCTTTTGCAAAATTAATTTCAGCTCTCTATTACTCAATTCTACTTGACCACTAGACCGTGGGTGATAAGGAGATGCAACTCTATGATTAACATCATACTTAGCAAGCATTTTACGGAAAGCACCATGGATAAAATGTGAACCACCATCAGTCATTAAGTATCTAGGGACTCCAAACCTCGAAAAAATAACTTCTTTAAGCATCTTAATAGAGGTGTTATGATCAGCACTACTAGTTGGAATAGTTTTTACCCACTTAGCAACATAATCAACAGTAACTAAAATATGTGTATACCCATTGGAGGATGGGAAAGGTCCCATATAATCAAAGCCCCAAACATCAAATGGTTCAATAACAAGTGAATAATTCATAGGCATTTCTACCCACTTAGTAACGTAATCAACAGCAACTAAAATATGTGTATACCCATTGGAGGAAGGAAGGAAAGACTCCATATAGCCAAAGATGGGCATCAGAGGGCTGCTAGGGGGCCCACGAGACTGGGGGCGCGCCTAGGGGGGTAGGGAGCGCCCCCACCCTTGTGGATGGTGGGTGGGCCCCCTCTGGTACTTCTTTCGCCCAATATTTTTATATTCTGAAACATGCTCTCGTGAAGTTTCAAGACTTTTGGAGTTGTGCAGAATAGGTCTCTAATATTTGCTCCTCTTCCAGCCCAGAATTCCAGCTGCGGCATTCTCCCTCTTCATGTAAACCTTGTAAAATAAGAGAGAATAGGCATAAGTATTGTGACATATTGTGTAATAACAGCCCATAATGCAATAAATATCGATATAAAAGCATGATGCAAAATGGACGTATCAGTGAGGATTCTGGTAGCAGCCTTGGTGATCCTGAAGAACTGAGCTAGGAGCTAGCAATGCTCGTGAGGAAATTCTAGATGTTCTCAAGACGTGGTCGCTTTGGTAAATCCTCAAGAGGTGATGACATGAGATCAGATTCCTCATCCCGTGACTACAAGAAAAGAACTTGCAACAAATGCAAGAAACCCGGTCACTACATCACTGATTATCCTCAATGGGAGAAGAAATCAAAGAAGGAGAAATACAAGGATTACAGTTCTGATGACTCAAAGAAGAAGAAGAAATCTTCAAAGTCCTCATCATCAAAATCTTCATCTCACAAGAAAAGGCTCGTGCATTCATTGGCAAGGAAATGGACTCTGAAGCTGAATCTGAGGAAAATGAGAAAGAGGAGGCATCTGAGGAGTCAGACTCTGGTGTGGCGAGCCTAGCCCTCGCTACTGCTTTCGTTAGCAAGTCCATCTTCAAACCTGAGGAAAATGACTTCACCAACACTGTTGACGACGGTGATGAGGACTATGCTCCCACCTATTGCTTCATAGAAAAAGGTGCAAAGGTACTCAAATACCCCTTGTCGGTGTCAAAATCGGCGGATCTCGAGTAGGGGGTCCCTAACTGTGCGTCTAAGGCGGATGGTAATAGGAGGCAGGGGACACGATGTTTTCCCCAGGTTCGGGCCCTCTTGATGGAGATAAAACCCTACGTCCTACTTGATTTATTCTTGATGATATGAGTATTACAAGAGTTGATCTACCACGAGATCTGAGAGGCTAAACCCTAGAAGCTAGCCTATGGTCTGATTGTATGTTGTCCTACAGACTAAAACCCTCCGGTTTATATAGACACCGGAGAGGGTTAGAGTTACACAAGGTCGGTTACAAAGGAGGAGAAATCCATATCTGTA